GGCACTGGGTGTTCTGGGTATCCCGGGTATCCAGCCCCGGTGTGCAGGCATTCTGGGTATCCCAGGTATCCGGTACCAGCCATCCTGGCTATCCGGTACCGGCCATGTCAGGCATTCCCAGGGTCTGGCCCTGGGTGTCCCGGGTATCCCGGGTATCTGGCACCCAGTGTTGCAGGCATTCTGGGTATCCCAGGTATCTGGTACCAGCCATCCCGGCTATCCAGTACCGGCCATCTCGGGCATTCCCAGGGTCCAGCACTGGGTGTTCTGGGTATCCCAGGTATCCAGCAGCGGGCATCCCGGGTATTTGGTACCGGGCATCCCAGGTATCCCAGATATCTGGCATCAGATGTTGTGGGCATCCTGCATATCGCAGGTATCCAGTGCTGCACATCCCGGGTATCTGGCACCAGGCATCCTGGGCATCACGGGTATCACAGGTATCCCAAGTATCCGGCACTGGGCATCCCAGGTATCCAGCAGTGGGTGTCCTTGGTGTCTGGCACTGGGCATCCTGGGTAGCCCAGTATCTGACACTGGGCATCCCAGTTATCCCAGGTATCTGACACCTGTCATCCCAGGTATCCAGTATTGGGCATCCCAGGTAGCCCCAGTATCTGTCACTGGGCATTGCAGGCATCCTGTGTGTCCCAGGTATCCAGTACTGGGTATCCTGGGTATCTGGCAATGGGCATCGTGGGTATCCTGAGTATCCCAGGTATCCAGCACTGGGCATTCCAGGTAGCTCCAGTATCTGTCACCGGGTGTCGCAGGCATCCTGAGTGTCCCAGGTATCCAGTACTGGGCATCCCGGGCATCTGGTACTGGGCATTCCAGATATTCATACCTGGCATCCTAGGTATCCCACCTATCCAATACTAGGCATCCCAGATATATGGTACTGGGTGTCTTGGCCATACTGAATATTTGCACTGGGCATCCCAGGCACTGGGAATCTAGCACCAGGGTCCTGGCTTCTCGGGTATCCAGCACTGGGAATCCTGTGTATCCTGTGGCTCACGGGTACTGGCATGGGGCTTGCGGGCACGGAGCATCCTGGGCTCCAGCACCAGGGACTCAGGAACCAGCCCTGGGGCTCCTGGGCACCAGGAATCCTGGGTATCGGCACCAGGGCTCTTGGGCACTGGTACCAGTTCCAGACACTGGCACCAGGGGCTCCTTTGGCATTGGCAGCAGCACTAGGTCTCCAGGCAGTGACAGCGGGGCCTTCCCAGTGGGCTCTGGCACCAAGGCCTCCCCTGGCACCAGCTCTTGGGGCTTCTTGGGCACCAATTCTGGGTACCAGCACCAGGAACTCCCAGGGATCTGGCACTGGAGGATCCCCAGACACCTGCTCCGGGTGCTCCTCTGGACACTGGTACCAGACACCAGCACCGGGGCCTCCCCAGGAGCTGGGCACCAGCACTGAGGGCACCAGACATGGGCACCAGCACTGGGGGCTCCTTCCAGATGCACTTCCCCAGATACCAGACACTGGAACCAGACATCAGGTACATGGGGCTCCCTGGATACTGGGCACTGGCATCCGGGCTTCCCAGGACATCAGGGCCAAGCATGGGCACGGGGCCTGTGTGACCAGGCACCGGGACAGGCACTGGCACTGGGGCACACTGGCCTCAAGGCACCCCAGGTGCCCCAGCACTGGGGGGTCCCAGCAGCACTGTGGGGTCCCTGGGACATCCCTGCCAGGACCTGTCCCCCGGTCACCCCAGGGCTCCCTTGGACACCAGGACAAAGCATTAGCCCAGATGGGGCATCGGGAACAGGCTGCAAGGAAACTCAGGACCCCTTGGGACACCCCAGGAACCAGGAACCCACTCTGGGTCACCCAGACACCCCAGGGCACACAGGCCACCCAGGCCAGGCACTGACCTTGGAGTGAGACACCTAGGACCAGGGACCAGTGTTGGGAACACGGGATGACCCACAGGGGCAGGGAGCAGCCTCCGGATGCCCAGGGACATCTGGGACTGGGAAGCGATCGCCCAGGTCAGCCACTGGGAACCAAGCACCCAGACCCTCTCTGTGCCCAGCGCCAAGGGGTGCCCACTGTGGGACATCCCCTCAGCTCCGTGTCCCACGCAGAGACCCCCAGCCCTGCACCAGGAGCTTCCCCTCGAGGGGAACCTCAGCCCAGGCCCCCTTCAGCACCAAGGAAGGGTCCTGCGTGTGACCCCTTCCCCGTGTGCTCCATAGAGAGGCCCTTGGTACAGCTTTCCCCATGGGAGACGCCCAGGTCTCCTCATGGAGCTGCCAGCATCCTTGTGGGACACATCCCGCCCCAAACGCAGCGGTTCTCCCCGGCAGTGGGGCCTTGCCCTGCCTTGCACTGTGTAGAAGGACCCTGTGCTTCCAACTCGCTCCGGGCTCATCGCAGGTGGCCAAACAGCCCGGAACCCCCCACTCGGGACACAGGGAGTGTGAACAGCCGCAGCGCTTGTGCTGGAAACACCCTGGGCGACCCCGTGCAGACCCCCCTCTACAGAAGGGCCCTGCCTGGGCACCCATGCAGGGAAAGGGCCCCAGTGCCGCCCTCAGAACCCCCAGCCTCCCCAGTGTGGGGATGTGAGGCCTCGTGGGGTCTTCCCCGCCGTGCTAGGGGCTTGCAGCCACCTCCTGCCAGCTTGGCGGGGATGGGAAGCCTGACCTCTCCTCACCCGGATCGCAGACGTGGAGCTGCCGTGGCTTAGCGCGAAATTCCTTCATCTTTAATTTTCCCTGTCCCAAAGATTTAGTGGTTTAAGGCAAGCTCAGAGCCCAAATCCCGCCGATTGGCCGCGGCTTAATCAGGGGCTGGGAGCGCCTGGCGGGAGCGGGAGCTGCCGCTGCCACCGGGATTCCTCCCCTGAGCGCCCGGCCCCGGGGCTCTGCACGGGACAACCGCATGAGGGTCCATGGGTCACCTCCAGGTGCCAGCTCTGCCCACCTGGATCCCCTGGGATGGGCAAGTTGGAGCCGTTGGAGGCTCCCTGCGTCCCAGAACGGCCTCCGATCCCAGCTGGGAGCTGCCTCCCTCCCTGCTTCGCGCCCGGGGATGTCACGGAGAAGGGGCTGCCGTGGCCGGGCGCTGCCGTGAGGCCAGGGGCTCGCCTGGCACGGAGCCCCCGGCAGGTGCCCCTGCCCGGGGCTGCTGGAGACGCTGGATCGGGAAGAGGAAAAGCAAAAGGTGGCGGGGGGCGGCCGGCCGAGCGCGAGGGAGCCAAAGGGCCTTGGAGTGCGAGAACCAAGACGGAGGAAGAGGAGGAGGAGGAGCTAAAAGGCAGCGTCTGTTTCAGAGAGAGAGAAAAAAAGCTTAAATCTTCAATGTCTAATTAGTGGACCACAATCAGGGAAGGGCTTAATTAGTGCTTCACAGAAAACCCCATCTCAAAAGCCACTGCCCGCCCCCCAGGAGGAAACTGGATCTAATTAAGAGAAAAGACTCTGCTTCATCGCAAATAGAAACCCAGCCATCTGCCCCGCTCAAAATCCCCGTTACACAAAACGGGAGATTGCGCTAAATCCTTCTGTTACAAAACCCGAAACGCGGGGCCTTGGGCGCGCGGACGGCAGCGGCCGAGGCGCCGGTGACACCCTGTGCACCGGGAATCTGCGGAGCAGCCGCCGGCATGGAGCTGGACACGCGCGGCCCGGCCGCCCTCACACCGGCGTGCCTGTGGCCGCGGCAGCCCCCGGAGCCTTCGCGAGGAAGAGGAGCCTTGGGCTGCCCCTGCGTCCCGCTCGGGGGACGGCCGCTGGCGGCGGCTCCCGCGCGGCGCTCGGCGCGCTCCGGCGTCCCCCCGTGCCCGGTGGGAGAGGGTTTCGCCCCGGGCAGCGCCGGCGAGTGGTGGCAATTCATCGCCCAGGCACCTGCCGCAGTGGAAATGCAGTAATAATAATAACAACAACAATATTGATGCACGCCAAGCCTCCCGCCTGGGTTACACTCGGCTCTCCCCGCGGGGCTCTTCCCACCGCCGGAGGGGGAAGCGGGAGCGCCGGCGAAGCCGCGGCAGCGTCACCCGCCCTGTGCTTTGGACCCGCTGCACAGAGCGGCCTCCTGCAGCAGCGCGGAGCGCTCCCGTTCCCCGTTCCCTGTTCCAGGGGCCTCCCTGCCCCTGCACACGGAGGAACCGGCTTCGTTCCGCGGATGCGGAGCGCGTGCCCGGCAGAGCAAAGCGCGTTTACCGCTTGCACGTCCCTGCTGCAAAGTCACCGCTTCGGTCTCCTCTCCGCTGCCTGGCTTGATGGTTGGAGGCTCGGAGAGGTGGAGGACGAGGCCGGGAGTTGCCCTCTGCAGGGGCAGCCGGCTGCTGTTGGGGGCTCTGCCGCCCCTTGGCCTTGCCGAGGCCCGGCCTCCTCCTGCGCCGTGCACGGCAGCACCGGCCCCGGCTCCGCTGAGCCTTCACAAAAGAGTTTTGGAGCAAATAAAAACCCCAATGGAAAAAAACAAACAAAAAGGAGATGGATCTCCCATGCAAAGCAAAGAGACAGTGATTGGGATGGATTGGGAGGAAGGGATGGGCTCGAGCCCTTCCTCTGCCCAAGGAAGAGTTAGCGCCAACGTGCCGGCCTCCAGCAGCGCGGCAAGAAGACACCCTGCCAAACATCTGCATGTGCTGAATTATCAAGGTTTTATCCCCCAAAAAGAAGTTTCTGGGGGATTTCCCCTCACCCTCCTCGGCCGCTGCCGCGTGTGCCTTGGTCGCCAGCCCGCCTGGCAGCAGGGCCAGGAAGAGCCGGAGCTTGGCCGGCGCGGCCGGGCGCCGTGCCCGCGGGGACGGGCCGCGCTCCCGCCGCGGAGCCGCCTGCGTCCGGCAGCCGCCGCTCCCGGCCCGTGCGGAGCCTCGTGCTCCGCGGGGAGCCTCCGGAGGCTCGGGCACGGAGGCAGCCGGGGGAGCCAGGCGCTGCAGGGCAGCTCCCTTCTGTGGGAAGGGCAGCTCCTGCCTTGCCTTTCCTTTCCTTTTTGTGGGATTTCTGGTTTTAAGAGGTGCCCTTCCCTCCCCGTTCCCTAGGGAAGCGGGGCCTGTTCCCGCCCGGCGCAGCGAGGGCGGCTCAGGCCGCTCTTTCCCTTGACCTTTCCAAGGCTCCAGCCCCGGCTCTGGAGACACGTCTCCTCTTGCGGGAGCGAATGGGGCCGGCAGCGACAGGAGCCCTTAAACAGATGGCAGGTAGCAGGGTCACGGTGCCCGGGAACGGCGGGAAGCGCCGCAGAGCTGCCAGGAGAGCGGCCGGGCCGGGAACAAGCAGGAATGAGCGGGACCCCGGCAGGGCCCGGGGCCGCCGGCCGTGAGGCGGACACGGGCAGGGGTGACGCGGCAGGGGCCACACGTGTCCTGTTCCCTGAGCAGGGACCGGCCGCGAGCCGCAGCGAGGACCGGGAGGAGGAGGAGGAGGAGGAGAATGAGGGTGAGCAGGATGAGGAAGATAAGGATGAGGAGGAGGAGGGTGAGGAGGCTGATGAGGATGAGGAGGGCGCGGGCTCCTCTGCTGCGGGTGCCCCGTTTCGGGGCCCGCTGGTGTCGAGCTGAGCGCGGGCTCCCCGGCGCGCGGGGCTCTCTCCCTCCTTCCCGCGGGATTTGGCGGCTCCGTCCTGCCCGCGCTGCCCCAGCCCCTCTGCCTCTCCCTGGAGCGGCTCTTGGTGCCCGGCCGTACCAGGCTTTTCCCTGCGGAGCGGCTCCGGCTTTCCCGGTGTCTGCTCCCGGTTTTCCCCTCGCTCCGGCGCTCGGCGGCAGGTTGGGTGATCCCGGGTGAGCCCGAGCTAAATCCTGCAGGCCCAGCCGTGCCGGCCTGCTGCAGCGCCGGGATGACCCGGATGCTCCGGCAGCCTCTGCCAGGGGTGGGAGCCTCTCGGGAGGAGCCTCCTCCTCTCCCGGTGCGGAGACCTGGCTCCGGTGTGGCAGCCTGCATCATGGCGCTGAATTCCCTTCGATTCCTTCGCTCTGCCGGGCGCCAGGAGCCCTGGAGACGCCCGGTTCGTTCCTGAGCAGCCTGACGAGGCAGCGCCAGGGAATCCGGCAGAGTAAGCACCGGGATGCAGGCGGCCGCGGCCCAGGCAGGAGCTGAGGGGCCTCCAAAGCCCAACCGGGAATTCCAAGGAGTGGGAATCACGGGCCAGGCCTGCAGGAGCCGCGGCGGGGAGCAGCAGCCCGGGTGGCTCTTGGTGCCGCAGGGTCCCTCGTCAGGCCTTGGGAGCACAGGAAATAAAATAGGCAGGAGCCCGGTTATTTTTTCCCTCTTTTTTTTTTATAGCTGATCTTGTAGGAGTCCTGCTTCTCCGTTTCCACAGTTGCAGGGTCTAGAAATAGGCAGTTTAAAATAAAAGCTCTATATAAAAAGCAGAGGTTTTCACGCAGACGCAAGCGCCTGAGCGACCCTGGAGCAGCCGGCGGCCGCCGGGAGCTCCTGGGAAGGGCAGGGGGGCGGCTGCGCTCGGGAGCGCCCGGGGACGCGCGGGGATGAGCAGGGACACGGCGGGACACGTGGGGACACGCGGGGACGCGCGGGGACGCGGGGCCACTCGCGCGGCTGCCTCGGTGTCGCGCGTGGCCGCCAGGCTCTGCGAGGGGACGCGCAGCCGGGACACGGGGCGGCTGGGGACACGCGGCAGCTCCTGGCAGCGCCGTGGCTGTGGCACCGCGGTGGCTTTGTCAGCGCCGTGGTTGTGGCACTGCAATGGTCGTGGCACCGTGGTGGTCGTGGCACCGGGTGTCTCGTGGCACCGGGTGTCTCGTGGCACGTGCAGCGGAGCAGAGCGCGGTGCGGAGCAGATCACGGCGCGTCGGGGCTGCCGCTGCGAGGGGGCTGCTCTGCGCGGGGCCCTGGGGACCGCAGGGGCTCGCAGGGCCCCGCGGCTCCGGGAGGGCACCCCGACACTCGGCGTCACTCTGTCCCTCGTGCGCTCTGGCTCCTGCCCTGCCCGCGAGCCCCTGGGGGCGGCACCTTCACGTGTCCCAGACCTGCCGCTCCGCAGCCGGGGCCTCCGCAGTGTCCCTGCGCTGAGAACCCCCTGCTCCCTTCACCTCAGCGGCCAGGGCGGGTTGCATCCCCGTTAATCCCGCGTTTCCCGGGGCCGGGCGCCCGTGGAAAGGCCGAGGCTGGAGCGCAGGGCCCCGCCGCCCCGGGCTCACGGCGGGCCGGGTGTTGCCGGCGGCCCTGACCCCGCTCCCCGCAGCTCTCTGCCTGGTGCTGGGCTGCATGATCTTCCCCGACGGCTGGGACGCCGAGACCATCCGCGACATGTGCGGCGAGAAGACGGGCAAGTACTCCCTGGGCGACTGCTCCGTGCGCTGGGCCTACATCCTGGCCATCATCGGCATCCTCAACGCCCTCATCCTCTCCTTCCTGGCCTTCGTCCTCGGCAACCGGCAGAACGACCTGCTGCACGAGGAGCTCAAGACAGAGAGCAAGGGTGAGGGCGGCGCGGGGCCGGGCACCGCGGGGCGCCGCGGGCGGCTGCCCCTTCCCTAACGCGCCCCCTTGTTTTGCAGATTTTGTGGGCACTGCGGTGAGTGCGGAGCGGCGCCGACTGCCCCCATGGCTGAGTGTGCAGAGGGGCTGCGGGCTGTGGGGCGGTGGGGCTGGGGGCTGCGGGGGCAGTGGGATTGGGGCAATGGGATTGGGGCAATGGGGCTGGGGCAGAGGGACTAGGGGCAGTGGGAGCAGTGGGATTGAAGCAGTGGGATCAGGGCAGTGGGGCTGGGGCAGTGGGAGCAGTGGGGCAGGGAGCAGGGGGGCTGGGGCAATGGGGCTGGAGGCAGCAGGGGCAATGGGATGGGGTCAGTGGGAGTGCTGGGGGCAGTGGGACTGGGGCAGTGGGGCTGGGGCAATAGGAGCTGTGGGGCTGGGGGCGCTGGGGCCGGGACAGCCGTGCCTGTGGCTGGGCGGGGGTCCCGGCCCCACAGTGCCGCCGGGCTGGCCCCGACCCGCGCGCTCTCCCCACAGCGGATATAGGGCCGAGCGGCTGCGGCAGGACCCTCGTCCCGCGCCCGGCGGCAGTGGCGCCCCGGCCCCGTCCCACCCGCCGT